TGCTTCGCCGACTCCGTGTGGTGTGCACAGTGCATGTTTTACTTGCTTCAGACGATCGAACTTTTGTTATGCTCTGCAACTGCCGTATACTAATACCGTCATCGTTCGCTGATGAACGCTCACGGATCACTAACGGGATTCACTCGTACACTCCCGAATTCCATCAGCTATTTATGAGCATTCCTCAATGAGTTTCAACCATCATTATCTAAATTGGCAAGACAAAGAGACAATGCGGCTCAGAGCTTAGAGTTTGGCACTTCTGATCAACAGATTGTGGTGGTTTCGGGCCTCCAGAGATACAGCACCTGGAGGTTGAGCATGACTGACTGATGACTGGCTAGTGAGCCGGAAATGGCCGCTCCGGTTTCCCGTGTCTTTACCGGCAGTTTTCAGCAGCAGCCATTCAAAGTCAAGCGTTGATGAAAGTTCCCCCAACCGCTAACGCTAATCATCAGTCCCGCTTTGCCTAGGGTCTCGACAGAGTCCCAGACAACCATGGCAGTTGGTAGTATAGGCAGATAGTATTGCCGTCTCCCCTGTCTTTGCCGGCAATACTCTCTGCCTATTCAAGGTCAACCAGTGTCAGCGCAAATACACCGTCCTGTAGTGGTAGGAAGTAAAGAATAATAGTGTCCCGGACAGACGAAAATCCTCTGCGACACTGACCTCGCGTACTCCGAAGGGTAGGGGGCCGAGTACCAGGTGGTGATTATGTGCTTGCCTAGTTGGATCCGCGACGGGAAACGCGGCTCACTGGCGACGAGGTCTGGTTGCTGCTGCTGTTTTTGGTCGCCGCCACTGTGGTCGTCGGTGATGCCGTTTACAGCACCATCCTTTAGCGGAGGAGGGGGGTGGAGCAGCCGGGGGTTGTTGGGCGGCGGCATTTGCTTGCTGTTCTCCGGTGGCTGGGGAAGGCACTAAAAAATCCCGACCAAGTAGAGATTAGACCCGCGTACATGCAATTACACATACAACATCGAAAAGAAAGACGGTGTCAGTTGCACCTCCGACGCGCTTGTCAGCAGTGAGACCAATCCCAAAACTGGTCAAATGTTCGAGTATGCGAATCACATTTACCCGGTTAAATAACCAAAGTGGTTACTGACAAAACAGAGAAGCAGCAGCAGACCTCATCTTTAAATTCCCTCGGAACAATTAGTCAAGAACAAGGGCTAGAGAGAAATTGTTCGACTTGAGGAGCAGTCACTTCGAGCGAGCAAGGTAAACAACAACTGTAGTGAAAACGATAACCAGATAAAACAGCGGCATGAGTACGCAATAACCAAATCGTACACAGGATCACAGCCTGCAAATAGGCAACTTCACGGTAAGAGTACCTAGTGGGGTCGCAGAAGGGTGCTTATGTATTATAACCACATACTTACATATTTTAAGTAGGTTGAAGATTCCACAACCTTCCTGTTTTCTGCGCGCCAGCAGTCGACCCAGTAGGGAATGGATGATGGCACTGAACTACGGAGGGGTGCTTGGAAGGCCACCGCATACAGTAACCGCTTAAGTCAGAATATTAAGCACAAATTGCCTTTCAAATAAGCCATGGGAACCATCAC